CTTGTTGCACATGTACACTTGGCCTTAATTGTTAATCTTGGTTGCATATTTTCATTTGAGCTATTTAATTTTTTACCAAGTGTGACGTCTTTTTAAGTTTTCTTTTTTCCTTTATTTTAGTGGTGTAATGCGTGCATGTCTGCATGTATGGCGTCTGTATAATTTTGTTTCTTATTTATCTTGGTTTGAATATTAATGCACAACATATAAAAGAGCTCCCTTAGCTCAATTTGATAGCTTTTGTATTATATTACACATGCGTTCTGCTTCTTTTTCTGTTGTTACAGGCTGACTGGGTAACTGACACTCGACCTCCACAGATGTGGCCAGAGGCAGGAAGAGTGCATTTTGAGAACTACAAAGTCCGTTACAGACCTGAATTGGATTTAGTGCTGCATGGAATCACTTGTGACATCAACAGCACTGAGAAGGTGTGTGTGTGTGAGCGTGAGAGGGAGAGTCTCCATATATGTATAAAGTTCCTGTAAAAGTTATAGGTTTTACTGTATCTGATATCATATTCACCAAAGATACAAAAGCATGTACTGCTAAAAAAGAAAAAGAAAAAAAATTGGATGGACATTAAATCATTGGGAAGTTTTTTTCTCCCTCATTGAAAAATCCATAATATATAAAATTGTACCACTATTTTTTAATTTAAAAGGTTAACTATTAACAACGTGTGCAAGCTTTCTGCTGGCTGAGATTGGCCAACTGTATCTAAAATGTAGCTTCCAGATACAGACATGCACATCATTTTGTATTTGAGTATAGAAAAGCTATTATGTTGAAATTTGTCATTTAGACTTTGTGCTGTAAGACATTGACATTCTATTGTTTGGGGTTTTTTTTAAATGTTTTATAGACCAATCTATTTCAATTATTTTTGTTTGGTTTTTTTTTTCTTTTTTAAGGATATGTTTTTTTGGCAATTTTTTAGTACTTTAATCTCATTTGGAGAATAACATCAATTAGTCTCAATGCAAAAAGATGCCACAGATCAAATTTCTTATAGACCAATCTATTAATCAATTACTCAAGAAAGATGCCACAGATCAATCTGTGTTGACAGTAATTACATATAATTAAACTGTAAAATAATGTGAACTATCAGTTTTTCTTTTAATTTATACATTATGTGTATTACTGTATATTATAATCAGCTGTGATATGTAAACATGTAACTAGTCTATGGGCAGTTGTTCCCAAACTTTTTTTGTTAGGCCGGAATATTCAGCATTGCTATCAATACATCCATCCATCCATCTTCTTGCGCTTATCCAGGACCGATTCGCGGGGCCAGCAGCCTAAGCAGAGAAGCCCAGACCTCCCTCTACCTAGTCACCTCCTCTAGCTTATCCAGCAGAACACCAAGGCATTTCCAGGCCAGCCAAGAGATATAATCTCTCCATGGTTTCCTGGGTCTTTGCTTTCTTGCTGAGGACCATGGCCTCAGATTTGGAGGTGCTGATTTTCATTCCCACCGCTTCACACTCGGCTGCAAACTGTTCCAGTGCGAGCTGGAGGCCATTACCTGATGAAGCCAACAGAACCACATCATCTGCAAAAAGCAGAGATGAGATTCTGCGTCCACCCAATTGAAAGCCTTCTGTCACTTGGTTGCGCCTAGAAATTCTATCCATAAAAATTATGAACAGAAGAGCAGCCTTGGCAGAGCCCATCACCAAACAAGAACGAGCTTGACATTGCCGGCTATGCGGACCAAACTCTTGCAACGGTTGTATAAGGATTGAATGGCCCGTAGCAATGGGCCAAGGATCTCATACTCCTGGAGCACAGGACACTCCAAGGGACACGGATCCCCCATAACTGAAATAAACCCTCAGGTCCCCCTTCTTAAAAATGGGAACCATCTATCAATCCAGAGGTACCACCCCTGATGTCCACGCAACATTGTAGAGGTGTGTCAACTAGGACAGCCCTACAATATCTAGAGCCTTCAGGAACTCAGGGCATACCTCATCCACCCCAGGGGCTCTACCACTAAGAAGTTGTTTGGTGTGCGTTGAAGATCTCGCAGACTGGGGCCTCTGCTAAGCAATTCCCAGCACACCCTAAGTATACATTTAGGTGCACCAGGCCTGTCCAGCATCCTTCTCTGCCACCTGATCCAACTCACCATCAGATGTTGATCAGCTGACAGCTCAGCCCCTCTCTTTATCTGAGTGTCCAGAACATATGGCCACAGGAATGGTGATACAATTACAAAATCAATCATCAACCTGTGGCCTAGAGCATCCTGGTGCTACATGCACTTATGGACACTCTTATGTTAGAACATGGTGATTGTTATGGCCAAACTGTGGTTTGCACAGAAGTCCAACAACAAAACACCGCTCGGGTTCAGATCCGGGAGGCTGTTCCTCCCAGTCACATCCCTCCAGGTCCCCCTGTTGTTCCCCACGTGTGCACTGAAGTCTCCCAATAGGACAACAGAGTCCCCAATGGATTAGGGTAAGCTCAAACACTGACAAAGTTGAAATATTGGTGTCAAAGTAAAACTGAGTAAAGACTGTCTGCATTGCAATAACATATATCACGGAATTACTGCCAATAGCAGTGATGACTATAAGCACTGTAAAATATCCGCTGCCTCTGAAAAATGTTGCTTCTTTCTGTAACATTACTGAAATGTCTAAGATCTTTTACAAACTAAGTACAGACTGAGTATATTTGCTTATTATTGCATTATTTATTGCTATACTGTTAAATACGGGGGAGTGAGGCCATGATGTAAAAGATATCACAATTTTAATACATTCTACAGAAAGAAAATTAACAACTGTGGTGAAGATTATTTTCTATCCAAATAGTACTGACTTGCAGCTGTTATTTTAGTGATCTCTTTATGGTCGCTTTTTTCGTGTCACACTGATTCACAGATACGGTATTTGTCTCGGCTTCGCACAGGAGAGCTTGGGAAATCAAGTCTTAACAATTGGCTGGGGTTTTAGCAATTATGTCGAAGAGCAGGGCCTGAATTGGAGCGCATCCCTATTGACGATGTAGCATAATCAGCTACAACAATGGAACACAGGGGGCCTTTGCATGACTTGAGAGAGCAGCAAATTTAATTTATATTACACAGGTAATACGAAGGAACAGCATAGGAATATATTTACTGAACAATTAACCATTCGTCTTCAAAAGAGAAGATTGATTTAAATTTCTTTCTATAAATATTGTATCTAACAAAATTGTCTGATATTATATATAGTACATACACCGTGTGCACAGATCCCAATTGGCATTTCATTTACATAATAGTTTGTTATACTCTACAGGGGTATGCACTTTGAGGATTGAACACTGGATTTCCATTTTGAACAAATTTCAGAGTACCTCGTACATGTAGTGAGATATATGAGAGACGAAGAGATGAAGCTCTCCTCATTCATAAAGAGCTATGTAGTCATGCGGTGCGAGGACAAGGATATAGGGCAGCATAAAAATGGGTTGAGGCACAGAAGGGAGGAAGAACCTCACAAGGTGTTGGGTAACTAAAATTAAACAATATCGGCCTCCTCGCGCTGGAGCTTAAATTACAGCATAAAGTGGCAGAGGGAGGAGAAAACCTCAGGTGGGTAATAAAATTAACAATACGGCCTCTGGGTACAAGTTATATATAAGTATAAGTTTTGTACAGTTCGTTATTCTAAACCTTATGTAATGTTCTGCAAAACTTACATAAACCCTAATTTTATTTGAACACATGAGTGTCATTTGTGGTTTACTTTTTTCTTTTGCAAAAAAACCCTCTTAAGATATCAATACTTTAATACAATCTTTCCAGTGTTGGGCAGAGGCAGCTGCTGTGTCTGGCTCGAGCTCTCCTGAGAAAGTCACGTATCCTAATTCTGGATGAAGCCACGGCAGCTGTTGACCTGGAGACAGACAACCTGATTCAGAACACCATCCGCAAAGAGTTCTCAGACTGCACAGTCCTTACCATCGCCCACCGCCTGCACAGTATCATGGACAGCTCTAGGTGAGTTATACCTTTTCCCTTAACATTTTTGGATGAAATTTTTGGAATTCATGACGATGTTTTTCTGACATGAAGCTTAAATTTGGTCTTGTTTTGCTGCTGGTTCAGTGAATTTTGGTCGGAGAGTGACAAAACATGTAGTTTCAGAATCTATGAGATATCGGCTTTCAGCACCCAACAGCATGTACATGTACGTGCCGTCGGATCTTGCTTTGTGTTTACATCTTTTCGTGGAATCCATTTACCCTAGTTTAGCTGTATGGCGATTGCTGAAATAGTTTGGTAAGCTTCAAGCTGGTGTTTCTGGAAAATACATTTATATTAAAAAACATTTCAGGATTTACTGAATCGATATCGCATTATTCAAAATAAAATCTATTTGAATCAGTAAATCGATTTTTAAAACCCACCCCTAATCATACATGAGAGTAATATTTGACCAAATGATCTAGACCATAGGTGTCAAACTGTGGCCTGCGGGCCAAATTTGGCCCGCAGCCTACTTACATTTGGCCCGCGAAGCCATACCAAATTACTATCAGAGCTGGCCTACTGGTATTATACAGCTAATAAGGTGGGTTGAAAAGGAAAGGGACTAACATGCACACTTTACACCTTTGAGTATTATACAATATATATATTGTTTAGTATTAAGCTTTGCTTGTTCCATATTCAGTTTTTCAGCAAAACGTTTTGAGTCCATAAGAAAAGATTCATTCTTATATCTGGAGATAAATATTTTCAAGTAAATATTAACGTTAGCGCGACTTTGTATATTTTCAATAAATATTAACGTTAGCCCGCGACTTTGTTCCAGTTTTGAGTTTTGGCCCACTGTGTATTTGAGTTTGACACCCCTGGTCTAGACCAAGGGGTACTGACTCTCTGTTTTCCATTAGTAGTTTTAACACTTGGACTTTAACCTAAACTTACTTTACTGTAAGTTACTTTATTTTAGCTAAGATGTTGAGCTGAATATCTGATACTGTGCATTTGTAGGTCTTGCTTTCCATTTCTGTTCTGTTTTGGTTTAGACTTTGGTGTTACATCAAGTGAAGTTACATCACTAGTAACTTCACTTGGATTCAATGAATCTTTAAATGGGTATATGCTAGATAGTTCTGCTAGTTTAGCAGGACATTATAAAAGTGAACAACTAGCAGTACAACAGATTGGCCCTATTTGTGTAACCCTTTAAACTTTGATTCCTTAGAATAATGAGTGTACCCTTTCCCTCCAGTGTCTGTTGTATCTCCCCTGAGTTAACTTTTCACAGAGACAGCACAAATATTTACACATCAGTTTTCACTTTTGAGCTGGGGCTACCAAAGCCACACAGTATGGACATTTCTCAGTGGGCTACTATTAAATCCTGTGCTTCTTCCCAACAGGGTAATGGTGCTTGATGCTGGAAAAATAGTGGAATTTGATTCGCCGAGCAACCTGCTTGAAAATGAAGGTCATTTCTATGCCATGGCAAAAGATGCTGGGATAACATTAGAAAGTAACACAAATTTATAATCTCTACTTATACTGTTTTTTTAGGGAAGATTTAGGGCCACAATTTTCTGTGTATGTGTTTTATTTGTAGGTTTACATTGTGAAGACTGGATTTTACTTTTATGTAAAGAAACACTGACATATGTATTGTATTTATAGGGAAAAACATAGGGAAAACATATTGTATATGTAACACATTTTATGTGTGAAAAATAAAATTTATTTCTGAAATCATGCTTAACTGGTTTTAATTAAAAATAACACTCTTTTTTTGACACAATGTTATCAGTCTGTTCATCAGGCCTCTGCATCCATCTATTAAAACTGGCTTTGGAATGGATAAAACAGGCTAATATTAGGCTTCGGGAATGGTCTTCCCAACCCTAACCTCAACCTTACTGAAAATTTGTGGATTACACTTAAAACCGGGTCTATGCTAGGAAACTCACCCATTTAAACTCTACCAATTCTGTCCAGAAGATGGTCAAATATCCAGCCATAATTACTCCAGAATCTTGTTGACAGCAACCAAAAATGTCACCCTGAGGTGTAACTTACAAAGGGACGTTTGACCAAATATTAGTGGACACGTATTTATATGTTTGACCCTGTTTTGATTAGAGAAAATGCAAAATAATTTCATCCTGTGCACCCAATTCTTGTTTTTTAAAGTGACTCAGTATGTATGCTGTACAATCATTTCATCCTTGAAAACGATGACTTTGTCACGGCCGAGGCCGCCTCAAAGGTGAAAGGACTCAAATGCAAGATGCCGAACAGCACGTAAGTAGTTTTAGAGACTATGTTTATTTACTCAGTAAGTGTTCATAAACTGGAAAGTGAGGTTAACAAGTGCGAAGTGCCACAACTGAATCAAAGGGGTCTTAAGCAGCCTGGGCTAAGTAAGCAATCTGGTCTTGGTCAGTGGAAGCAGCAGCTCCGGGGATTGGGCTGGAGGGAGAGTCTCACTGGGTCCAGGGAAAGGGTCAGAGTCACTGTAAATAGAGTACAGACATTCAGGTATGGTTCAGGAAAAATATGGATAAGCTGTTCGTTCTGAATCTTCCTTCGTACTGCGTACTTGCCGTGGGTGGTCGGTGGTGACGTGGAGGGGTGAGTGGTCTGAAATTCCTAGCGTGGAGACAGGGAGGCAGGCAGGTGGTTCGGGTGAACAGCCTGTGGGACTGTCAGGTGGTCCAGTGTCCGGGTTGGAGCTCTTCGGCAGAGATTAGTGTTTGGCAGCTTGGTGTGGCTATGAGAGAAACACACGATGAGACAATGTAATTCACAAAGCGAGTGCGACATCACGGTGGTGGCCTGCACTAACTAGGGTTAGCTGAGAATCTGGCAAAGAGAGGTTGAGTGCGCTGGCCTTATGAGTCCCCGGCTAAATTACCCACAGGTGTGAGCAATCAGCAGACACTGAGGCCCTTCCCTTCACGCGCGCGTTGGAGCATTTGCCGGACTCACGAGGTTTTAGGGAGACACGGGCTTGCTGCATTTACATCCATGACTCATGAGCAGAGTCACAAAGAACAATCAATTTAAAATAAACGCCTCCCCCGTTCTAAAAAAAATTTGAACTGTACATTCATAGTCAGTATTGATGATTATGTATGTAGAAATGCTCTTGATTTGACCACTATGGTAGTGATGTGATCTCTTCTGATACATTCAGTGAACTAAGAGATGACTTGTCTTTAGTTCTTAAAGTCAAGAAAAAATCAATTAATACAAAACGGGTTACTGGGTGGTATTATATAATTATGTAAAGGAAATAAACTTAGGAAAGGTGTGGGATGGCTTTTAATGGCAGTCCACGTCCTCCAAGGGGATATCTACTAAATGTTGAAACTCGGCGATCCCATTCTATCCATCTTATTAGTCAGATAGGTATTTCCACGGCTAACACAGTTAAAATGGAGGCATGTGAAGTAATGATAAAGGGTACCTTCTATTATTCTATTATCTCTCTCATTCAGGAGTATTTCGATGCGAGGGAGACATATACAAACTGTGATTATCATTGTCTAGGAAAATATTGAGTCATTCTTGCTTATATCTGTGTGGGTGAAAGATGTTTGGGCACACTTAGAACTCACTGGAGAAGACCATGGGTAGGTGTAACTGTTTTAGTAGGAAAACCATGGTATATTGTATGAGAAGTCCTAAATACTTTATATGTATTATTCATCGTTCACTTATGCTGCCAGACGGAACCTCTCTGTTGTGTTATTATGTACGTTATTTGCTTCGTGTTATAGAGGCGAAGTAAGCAATTTATCTTTTTTTTTCCCTGCTTATAAATAACGACTGTCACTGAGGGACTCAAAAGTCAACTTTTGATTACGGGAGGTCCACAATCTCCTACGGGACACAATATAAGTCAGATGAACTGGGTGATTCGCAGTCGAGTACAGAGAGAAGGAGGACGCAAAGGCAGACGTATTTGAGTAGGAGGACACCACGGCAGGTAGAGTTGGAGGAAGCGGGGAGGGGTGAGAGGCGTCGCTTGTCTGATCAGCTGAGGTTGACTGAGAGAGGGTGGGAGGGAACAGAAAATTACCAGGGGGAAAGAAAAAAAAAAAGACAGGGACTGTAAGCGGGATCGTGGTGCGGCAGCCTTCTGGAAGGGAGGTGGGACAGTGGTACCATACTTTTTGACTTGGAGTGAAGTAAAGCAGAGTGCACAAACAAAGCAGAATATGGGACGTGAAGAGGATTAATTTCAAAAGAGGCAATTAAACAAGGGTGGGGGTCAGAACTAGTAAATATACACAAAGTAAATGGGTGATCGTGGATTATTGTTAAGTTTGATTTACCAACTCGCACAGCATACTACAGACATTTATTTACACCTTATTTATTCCCCCATACCATGTAGGAGACATTTGTTGATGTGGGCATTAGATCTTCTGATTATTATTAACACATTCGGCTGCTTTATATTATTTTAAATATTATTAATTACTTATAATGCACTCTTGGTTTACACGTATTTGGACTTTTGATCTATAGGACTATTGTGGTGGAATTTTGTTCTGGGTTTGAGTTGAGTGTTGGTTACCTTGGTGTGTACTCGCTGTACTTCTGTGTACGTGTTTTGTATATTGCTTTGTTTTAATTGTCTCCACATCTCTTTACTGCTGTCGTAAGTCACTATGGTTCAGAGGCACTGCTCTCTTGTTATTTGAATGTGGCTATATAAACTACAATCTATCTGATTTGGTAGATTTGATTTTCGACCTTCATAAAAACATGTACGGAGGGACAAATGTTGAATAGTCACAAGCTATCTCACTATCACCAGTTTATTCTATTTTTTTAAAAGATCTTTTTTTTTTATAGCCTTTGGAGAATAAACTGGGAACGCTGTAAGGTTAAAAACACATTGAAGCTGATTAAAAGGCAGTAAAAATGAAAGATATACGTGTAAAAAGCTGGTCATGTTATTGTGTCAGTCTGTTCAACACAGAATGGACAAACAAGAAGGTCATGGTTTCTATTTGTCACAGCAACTGTGAGACATCTTCCAAAAAGGCAGAAAAGAAAATGATTAACTTTCTGGTTTCAGAAAGTTTCTGGTTTCAAAAAGTTAATCAGTTGAATTTTTAAAATAACTATATGGTTCCCTTAGAATGGCAGCGGGACTTTGTTATGTATATGTGTTTGTTTGTATGTGTCCTTCAGAATGCTTCATATCTGAAGCGACCAGACCCAGACCTTCCACTATGTGTGGAACAGACAGTTCTTGTATGGATCCCCCTTTGTTTCCTGTGGCTCTGTGCCCCATGGCACCTGCTGGCTCTCTGTCAGAGTGCAAATGTAAACACAAAACAACTGTCCAAGCTCTACATCTGCAAACAGGTAAGAAATACCATCTAATAAAGACATCTTCATAAAAAATTGTTGTTTCAGTTCATAGCTTAGGTAGCTGTCTTCTAGTTTCAAATGTTTAACTGTATACTGTAAAGAAATATTTTTTACTGTAAAGCTTTACAGGATTTACAGGAAAAACTGAATTAGTTTTTTTAATACATAAAATATTAATCAAATTACAGTAAAATGACAAAATGACATTAAAACTAGTTTATGTACCTTTACTTGGATTTGTTGACAATTAACACATATGTTGTGTTTTGATGGAAGCATTTGTTGCGCATTCTTTTTTATCTTGAGTAAAAGAAGGATGTAGTCTGAGTTTCTAATCATTTATTGCCTCAAGCAGTTCAACCCATAAGCATGTACATGGATCTCTTTGATTCAGAAAACCACAGTCTGCAAGCAGTTAGCTGTAACCAACGTCCTGAAAGAGAGCGACCTTTACTTAACTTTACAGAGAATTATGTATGATGCTTTTAATTGGTCAAAACTGTTGGGGAGATGCCGTGGTTTAGACTTGGCAATCCCTCGTTGGCCCAAAGGCTGGTCGCAGCCTTCAGGCACTCCACTTTCCTCCGGTCAGGCGAGGACACATCTGGGCTGGTAACCTGCCTCTCCTATTTCTGTATAACAGCCTGGTTTCATGTGATGGTGGTCATGGTGGTATGTGAAATGCATACTTATTCCAGGCTTTGGTATTGTTCACTGTACTGCAGCCAA